AAATGACAACTCAGGTCCAGAGGTCCTATGGGAAAATTCTCTGTGCACTTGGGAGGGAAGTCTAAGGAGAGATGGTGTTTTAGGAGATAGAGTATACATGTCCGTTTGAGCCTTGGGTGAGTTCATATTAGAGAAAAGAGCAGAGAACGTTTGATCTCACAAACGGGAGTCTTACAGAGTCCCGGCAGATAATATAAACTAGTGAAATGGACCAGGTATAAAATTTCCCCCCCAAGAAGCAACAGGTTCTGCAGACTTTCTATCACATATGTTTACTTTACATTAAGAGGAGAACTTTTACTTGCTATCTAAAATATTTACATTCAAGTGCTTCATGGTAGCTTTAAATTTGCCAACAAAGTCTATGATGGGGAACAAAGGAACAGTCTCCCCCAAGGTTAAGGGAAGTCATCACCTTTCAGGATGATTTTTCACCATTAGATTCTTTCCTCAGATCTCACAGAGTCGCCTCACCAGAGTCCAGGCCCAAACAGTCCAGATCTAACTTTTCTTCGAAAGAAACTGGACATTTGGATTTTCATTGTTAACCTTTTTAAAACTGCAAGCTGGATTCAGCTTCTGGGCCACACACTTTCAGCATCTGATTTAACTGGTCTACAGAATTTAACTTGTCTGCTGTGAGTTAACCCTTGTCAGGAAAACCAAGCTTTGTTGTTTTTCATGGAGACATAAAGTGGACTTTGCCCATGGACATGACTGCTGTTGTAAATAGAGTAAGCAAGTTTGTCTTTGGGCACCAAAACAATCTCAGCACGCTGGGCCCTTCCCGCATCTCACCTGACTTCAACTCCACAGCCGCACAGCAGGTTGCTCTGTGTCATCTTTGTATCACCACCAACGACTGGAAAAGGCACTTGGTTTAAACATGCTTTCAGAGTTCTAGTATGACCATGTAAATTCTTAGCTTCAAAACTTACTGGACATTTCACTCAGAGTAAATTTCTTTGGAATTCCATCTGCCAAGAGATGGGAAAGGGGCATAGATTCTTCTCCCTCACCTACCACAAAGGATCTCTAAGAATAGTCCAATAGTCAGTGACATTGAATTTCTGAGGGTGGGCGCCCTGAATTTTGAAAAGCAACTTAATCGCTGTTGTTCTTACTTCCCTCCCTTATGTCTCTGATTTGAATGTGTTTTCCTCATGCTTTGAGCTCAAACAAGTTTTTGACTCTGGGCACATGCCCGGGCTGCAGGCTCAATACCCAGCAGGCGTGCGGGAGGCAGCCAATCAATGACTCATCATTGGTGTTTCTATCTCTCCCTCTCCTTTCCTCTCTCTGAAATCAATAAAGATATATTTATAAAAAAAAGTTTTCAAATATGCTATAAACCAAACATCCCAAACTTTATTAATTTACAGTTATATGTATTGATTGTGCAATAATATTTGGCATTTACTAAGCTTTTAGAGGCAGCATAATTCAACCTTATCTTGGTGTACCATGCGCTAAACTAACTGTAAAGAAAGAAAAATGTGAGATAAAATGTGAGAGAATGCTGATGTCTTCATACCTTTTTTTAAAAAAAAAACAAAAACGCAAAAGCATGCATAAGAATGTTCCAGGTCTTGTCCATAGGACAAAGTGTAAGTTAAAGACATATAGACATATGTAAATTAGAAAAAAGTTGAAGCAGTTTCTTTTCTTGTAATTCCTTTTGGCTGATAGAATTGAGTGTAGCTACCATTGTCCAGATAGAGGAAGTTATGTAACAAAGGCTGCAGGAGCTCTTGAAGAATTCTTAATACTTGCTTTCCAAAATAGAAATTTAGTGTTTTTTTTTACAAAAGAAAGCTCTGACAACTGTTATTAAATATTTGTGTTTAACAGCTATATTTATTGCTCATTTCCCTCCTGTTGTTTTTTTTAAGATTTTTTTTTCTTTGCCCTAGAATTATCATTTATTTATAGAATTTAAACAGGGTATGTTTTTTTCTACTGTCATTTGCTTCTCTAAACTGAATTCTTATGACTTATAAATAAAAAAGCCCCATCTATTTTCAGCTTCAAGGTGGGCAAGGAAAGTATGGTAAGTCTGACGGACCCTCTGTGTGAAGGTAGGAACTCTTCAGTCTAAAACACTCTAAAGAAAAATTTTAAAGCCTTTTTTCTCTATCTGAGGAAAGTTAGGCAACATATATTTTCATTATACTGGGGTAGGGTGTTACTTATATTTGGAAATAGAATTGCTTTAGAAAGTATCTATAATTATCAATTTGTATCAACATGCTTTTCTTCTCTGTAAAATTTGTGTCTACCAAAAAAAAAATTAAAAAATTCAGAACATGAAATTATATGAAAAAAAAAAAAACCCTTAATTTTTGTCAAAAAACTATTACATTTTTTGATTCAATAATGAAGTAGTTAAAAGTGTGTCTTGTTACTATAAACTAAAAAAATAAAAAAGATAAAAGATAATCTAGTGAGAGCTCTAACTTAGANTTTGTATCAACATGCTTTTCTTCTCTGTAAAATTTGTGTCTACCAAAAAAAAAATTAAAAAATTCAGAACATGAAATTATATGAAAAAAAAAACCCCTTAATTTTTGTCAAAAAACTATTACATTTTTTGATTCAATAATGAAGTAGTTAAAAGTGTGTCTTGTTACTATAAACTAAAAAAATAAAAAAGATAAAAGATAATCTAGTGAGAGCTCTAACTTAGACACCTGTGAAGAGAGCACATATCATCTAAGACATTAAACTCAATATTTCAAAAGTGACGTCACAGAAAATGGTCTGCTGTTGAAATTGATTATATTGTCATCGCCCTGAACCTTCTCTGCACGGATCATAAGATAAGACAGTGTTTTCACTAAATGTAGTTTGGAAAAAGCTTGACCTTTCTAGAATAAACACATTAATTCACACTATAATTAACTTTGTACTTTATAAACTTTATTAAATAGTGAGCATTACTAACTTTTATTAACTTATATACACTATTTAAACTATGTTTTCCTAGATGCATTTTTTTGCACAAAGAGCAGAATAGGCGAAAAGTGAACTGATAAAAAAATGAACCCTTCAGTACAGAGGCCTAATAAAAAGGTGACATACTCTGAAGTACAAATACCCCTTTTCCTCAGTTATATACATCCTCTCCCCACCTCCAAAAGAAACTATTTTAAACAAAAGCACTTAATTGATAACTTTGAGGAAAAATACAAACACGATTATATATATACACTCAGCTCTCAAAATCTGCATCCTGGCTGACAGAAGTGATCTGAAAAACTAGAGATTTGTCCTAGGACCTAAAGATGACCACATAGACGTTTTATACAGTAAGACATCTACATCGTGCAGTGAGATATAGTCCTATAGGTGACATCAAAGCTGTCAATGGGACACGTGTTAATTACAGTAATATGGACACTATAGAATTTGAGTCATAGGAATGAAAAGGCAAAAATTTGAGACTGCATTCTTGGGACAAGAAAAGTCAGGCGACTTGGTTTTGCAAAGCATTACAAATTCCTCTAGCAAGTCTAAAACCATACCTTCTTACAGCGCTTGTCTTTCTAGCACTGCTAATCTTGAAAACTATCTTGTTTAAAGGAAGGAATGGAAAGAAAGGTTTCCAGAACCGTGCCATTTAGTATGGACTTTGTCTCATAGGCTACAAGCAGCAAGAATAGTTGGGTTACTTTTTGTTATTTAAAAAGGAAAACAAGTGCCTCAGGTACCTGTTTGTACAATAACGATGGTCACATTTTATGTTTTACAGTTAAGAAAAAGAGGCATAGGACTTAGAGGGGGACAGACTTAGGGTAAGATGACACTGACCCAAATCAGTGTCATTGCTCACCTTCAAAAGCAAAGCCCAGGTCCCTCGCCCTACACATATTATCATGTCTCTTAAAATGAAAACTGAGAGGGTGGGGGAGGGGGCCACAGAATGTAAAACTGCTTAAAATGCGAACACAGAGGCCACTGTTGAGAACTGACAGGAGTCTTCAATAAAAGAATATTTTTATAAAGGAGCAACAAACCCACCTTCATTTTCTTCAGCTTCCTGGAGTTTACCTTCTACCAACAAGGTTTTGCTTTTGTTTTCAGTTTCCTTCCATAAAGAGTTAATACAACTATCACAATGAACTGCTATTTAAAGACCATAATTGCAACATAAAAGATGGTATCTGAACTTGTGAACCAAAGATTCCGTTCTTTAACATGCCTTAGAACAATGAAAAAGGCCCCACATTCTGTTTGGTTTAGGAAATGAATTTCACTGCAGCCCAGTGAAAATCCTGCAGGCTGGGATCAGGTCATTTGGCTGAGCACAAAACTCAGGAAAGTTTATGTCAAAACTGCTCTGGAAAGGGTACCTTTAAAGTGCTCTGTTTCATTTTAGCTTGTGGTTTACTTCATGTTGATTAGAGACAGGCACAAAATGATAGTAAGAATGGTTCTATTCCTCCCAGCCCTTCAACTGAAACATGAGAATCGAGCAGCTCCCTGATGTCAACCCATCTTTTCTAATAGTTGTCACTGCACTTTCTTGCCCTTGGTTTCCTTAAGTCATTGAGGGAATCACTCGTTTCACCCCAGAAGTCATAAATGGGAAGAGCAGCACATTCTCTGCCTTGTCCGGGGAACCCAGGTAAAGATTTTTGCTTCTAGAAAATGGGTCTCGTTCCATGCTAGTTGCCAACACTTCCACCACTTCTGCATTGCACTGAACCGGTGTAGGCCTGCCAGAATAGAGACCCTAAAATGGGTACCCTAGACTAAACTCCAATTAGAGATCTTTAGCTTACGTTATTTTAGGGTTTGCCACAAATAGAACAAAAAGACCAGCTGTATTAAGCATAATCCTTTAAACAGCTTTAGTTTCCTTTCGTTTTAAAAGCATGGAAAAGCCTCCTTGCTGCCTTTGAGTCCTAAGATAAAACTAGTTTTGGCTTCTGGGTAATGAAAGTCTGGTACTATTGTCAGAATATTGGGGGAAAATATGGCTATCTTGTTAAAAAAAAAAAAAAAAAGAAATTTTCAAGTAAGATTGACTTACATGAAACATGAAAACATCTAGCATCAGAAAACAATTAGATGCTGACATTGGCTACAGTACAATCCTGGCTGGATCATCAGCTGTTGCAAAAAGTTGTGCTGTAAAAGAAAGTACATTTTACACCTCGTAATTACAAAATTGTTTTAATCTGGTACATATAAAACGCCTCAGGATCTGTAATTCTTGAGCATATGAAGAAATTAACCAGGGCAGCGACTATTAAGAACCTTAGGCAAAGCTGCTAGAACTAAGACACTGAAATTTTTCCCTTAGACTCTGGACAATGTTTTGCTGATTGGGAGACGGGCCCCTCCAAAGGTAGTCGTTCAGTTTGTCAGAATCGTCGTATGGCGTCAGATAGGGTGAAACCCCGACTTTGCCGCTCATTGGCTTTCTGGGGGTGCAGGGACTATTCAAAGAGTAAGACGTGTTGTTGCTGTAGACGTTGTCAGGAAAGTCCTCACCCACAACCTTTGGGTCCGGTTTCTTTCTGCGGTGGTGAGACAGCTCTACCTCCGACTCGTCTTCTTCTGACTTGATTTCCACGTAGTCATCTTCGTCTCCCTCAGTCTCTTTGAAATTGGAAAAATAGTTCTGTGTAGCTATTTGGGCATTTAAGGGTAAGTTTCTATTTACTACCAGAACTTTCTGTGAGTCTTGGAGGGTGAGATCTGAGCGTTGTTTTCCTGTATCCTGTTGACACGGGTCACCTGTATCTGGCAGCAAGTCCTGGTGACTCTCACATCTTGAACTACTGTGTAAAGATAATAGCTGTTTCCTTCCCACTTCATTAGGGTAGTTGATGGAGTCCGATGACTTGTTTATTAAGATTGAGGAAGAAGAATGGGACCTGTTGTAAGGCTGAGATTTAGCACTGATTCCTTTCCGACCCAAAGAGTTATAAAGATGGCCTTGACACGAGTTCTCTTTGTTGGGTTGACTGACGACCACGCTGTGTCTCTGCATGGGGCCCAGCAGATGGTCGGAGGTTTGAAGAGAAGGCACGGAGCAAGCTGTGGACAGTTGTCTTGGAGTGCTTTTTGTGTTGATCTCCAAGGTGGGATATTTTGGCTTCAAGTCTTGCTCTGGCCGGGCACAGAAATCTGCTAATTCTCCATTACTATAGGTTGAGTGCAAAAACCAGTCCTCGCTATCACGTTGGGCCTGGGAAGGTGGTGCAGATCTGAGGTTGGAAGGTTCTCGAGGGCTGGCCCAGCCGTCCTTCTGAGCCTTAGAGGGAGTCTCTCTGAATACGATCTGGTCATACAGTTGGGCATACTCGGCTATCCTGGCACCTGGAAGGCAAATATTGAAACAAAAAATATACACAGGGTTATTTCCACATGAGAAGATTAAAGAAATAACATAAATTTCTAACCTATTTAAAAAGTTTAAACAGTAGACAGGACTTTAAAGTTTGAAGATGACTAACCTTTGAATACTAAGCGACACAAACGAATAAAATAATCCATAGTTTAATAAAAAATAAAAATGCCACCTAAAAATTCATTTAATTTGATTTAACCCTAGATTATTTTCTTCCAGCAGTAGGTCTGCAAGCGTCTGCTCTTTGTAATGAGTATGTCTAGTGTTCTCGACAAGCATGAAGTAGCGTCAGTGCCCAAAACGGATCATAAAATAAGAAAGTCAGCTCTAAACCCTGGCTCATGCAAAAGAACTCAGGCAGTCACCAGAAGCACGACTGCAGTGCCCCCTGCAGTGGCTACCCCTGCTTCCCACGGGCCTTCACTGCTCTCAGACAGCTACTCCCAGAAGAACCCGCTGCCTGCGGCTCTCGCCACGCTCCTTGCTTCCAGGCAGCCCTCCGCATCCAGTCCCGGGAGCCAGTGTCTGCAGGAGGCCCTCCCTCCCAGCCCTGCAGGACTGCTTGACCCATCTCTCCTTGCCCGTCCCCAAGGAGCTGGGCACTGGAGTCGATGCTCCCAGCATATTAAGACTAAGCCATCTGTGCCTATCATTGACCCTCTAATGCCCCTAGTGCTGGTTCCAGATCAGGATCTGACCATTACTTCCACGGAAGCTATTGCTGCTTAAAATAAGCTGTGAGGCCATTCTCCTCTCGGCTCCACTTCTCAGTACAGACTTTTCTAAAGACGCTAACAGAGCCCTGCTATGGACAGAGCATTCTCTTGGGCCAGGAAGGATTTAAGAGAGAGAACCCAGAGATGTCAACTTCAAGAGAAGTCTCCTCCCGAACCTCCAACTAGGTACCCACACGGCTACCCTGGAATCGAAGAATTCCACGCACCTTATAAATCACTCGGACCACATCTCTAGTCTCTACGAAGGGACTCTATCCCATACAGGACAACTGGCAAGCGACATTACATTTTCTTCCTTTTTAAGCTATTTGATTTATAGTTTTAGTAACCTGTTGTTACTAAACTACTCCTTCAATCGAATCTAAATTTTCTAGTTCGGTTTCAGCCATTTCTTTTGAGTCTATCATCTATGAGGACAGAAAACACCCTGCTGTTATTTTGTGTGCCCTTTCATTGCAAACCCCTCAGATTACTTGCTCCCTGGTCCCCAATATCAGGGTAAATGTCTGTGTAACTTCTCATTATAGATCTTATATCCAGATCCTTCGGGTTGTCAAATCCAAATTCCTTGGAGGACAGAGATCACTGGGTTAGAATCTCTAGTAATACATACTTCAGGTGTTACTCCTTAAAGGGCATAGTAAAGACTCTCAATACCAATTAAGATTTGGCAGCCCCTCAGGAGACTGGAAGTCTCCATGGACACCAAAGTACCCAGGTTAGCCATCCTGAAATCCATTATGTTTCTTTAACTATGAAACCCAACTGAAGGCAGCTGGACCTTTAGACATAGACACCAGTTAGTAGCCCACCTGAAAGTCCGACGGTTCTGCCCAGCCATTCTCACCTACACACTCTGGCCCTGAGCCTGATCCCACAGCCGAATCAGGAAGGCTCTGAGCTTTCACAAAGTTCCAAGAAGATAATGAATTTGGGGAAAGCAGTGAGAGCGAATTTAAAAATTCTGTCACGCTATCCCAGTACCCAAATGTAACCCTGAAGTCTTGTAAGAACAATTAGCTCTTGACTTTAGAACACGGTGGCCCAGATCATCTGAAACCATGCGTCATCCAAAATATCCGTAGTATTTTCATGCCTTTTTGCCCCCTACCACACTCTTTCTTTTCCTTTGCTTAATAAAGTCCTATTTACCTCCCCAAACCCTCCATAAGCCCTACTCCTTTCATGAATCTTTTTCTAACTGACTTCTCTGGTCTTATATACTTAGTGCGCACCTGTATATACTGAGGGTGCTACCAACACTTAACTATGGTTGTGCACACATGCATGTATATGCCTGCATGCACACACACACGTAGATTCCTAGTTGTTTTATATGGGTCCGTTCATTATTCCAGCTGGTCAGTTAGCTTTTCACCTTGGAGACCAATCCCCATAGAGCACCAAGCATAGTTCGAGATAGAAACTGGTCTTAAAAACTAGTTAATTACTCAGACAATTTTTGGACTGCCCCCTTCTATTTGAAGCACGGTGTTGAATTAGATGTGCTCTCCCTAAGACCATACCACTGAGAGTGGACAGGCAGCCTAGAAATCAGGGGCACCGCAGGAAAAGGGGGAATGGGAACATACCCTTTGATTAAAATGCTCCCTATAGGTAACTCATAATGCATACAGTTTGTCTTTGGATGATAAAAAAATTTGGCATTTATAAATTTGGAATAAAAAGTATCTCACAAGTAGACAATATACTGTGTCTAAGTTTTCTCTTGTTGGTCTCAGCTTGACCTTCTAAGAGAGTCTGTTATTAGGTTCCCTGAGCCAGGCATGTAGGAAACAGCCAGCCCACGATGACACTGTAGCCTGAAAAGCTGAGTATTAGCCAGCTGGACCCAAGTTCTGCATCCTTAGTTCTGGCATTAATAATCTTTATAAACCATGCATATTATCATTACATGACAACCCCAAGGCAGTCCCTGGTTTGTTTCTCTTTTCTAAGTTTAAAAGGTGGAGTTCTTATGATTCCAGTTAAACATTTGAAGGGATGCTTGCTGAGAGAAGTATGAAATGTACTGTTTTCAAGACAGAGGGCTAAAATCAGGGTTTCTGATGTTGCTTGAGATGTAGACCAAAGCATAAAATGTTACTTTGCACAAGGAGGACAATTCCTCAAGCCTATTTGGAGTTTTCTCCCATGTAAAACATCATTAAAAAAAAAAAGAGAACCCCAAGGCCTCGATGGTCTCAAGGACTATCAGGAAGGAGGCCTGACTGCACCAGACGGCCAGCAAGCTACATCAGGCTCTAAGAGGTAGGAGCAACTAGACCTGGTTGGGTGATTTCTAGGCGGAAATCTGCCCCGGGGCCTGTAGACCCGGGCTAGAGAGTTCAATAAAGGTGCTCGAGAGTTTCGGCAGGTGAATAGGGTGCTCCTCCTTCTGGACAACACCGAGAGCAAGCTCCTGGCAAAGTGGCAAGGCCCACACGAAGAAGTCTGGAGAATCGGTCCATTCGATTACGACGGCCTGTGCCCAGATAAACAAGAGAGAGAAAAGGAGTCATCACGTCAACCGAGTGCAAGCCTGGTGGGCACAGGAAGCGGTCTCGATCCACCCAGATGGACGATTCCTCAGGTCCGAGAGATGGAAGGCCCTAGGGACGACTCCACTCTCAGGAGATGACTTGAGAGAGATCTTCTCCTCTTTGTCGGGGAGAACGTGACACTAGCCCACCATGTCAAGAAAGGGCCCAGACATAAAGCTGAGAAAAGATCCTATGAGATCCCAAGACACACCAGCAGGCAAATAAAATGGAGAACCAAAAGTGAAAAGCAAAAGAAAACCACAAGGGGAAACCTACCCATACTTACAAGAAGGGTAACGAAGGCGGCTATTCAAGGTGGCTGTGAGCCCTAGGCCCGGTATTGAAGGATGCGCTTCTACCAAGGCTGGAGTTCTGCATTTTAATGGATGGCCTATGTTCAAAACAGCCTGGCTCAGGAAGTACCACTTTTTAAACAACAGTCTGCTGGCATACTCCATCATCAGAAACTTTCGTATTTTATTTTCTCTCGTTCTGAGGAGCCCTGGCCCAGATTCAGTCAATGGTTGCACTGCCAACTCACTACTGTTTCCAGTGCCATCTATGGCCCCAGACAGCCCCTTCTGCAGCTGGAACTCAGTCATGTTTTCTATGTATAACAACAAACCAGTGTAGCAATCTAGCATTGCCAAGGGGATATGCATTGATTCAAGCATTTTATTGCAAAGAGAGAAATATATGCAATCTAGTTTCTCTCACATTCATAAAAAAATCACTTTTAACCTTAATTTAAAAAGGAAAACATCTTAAAAAGAGTCTATAAAATTCTTCAGGTAACAACTCCAGGGCTTAACTTCCCTATCTGTCAAGACATTTTACGGTATGATTAGCTCTAGGAAAGGAGTAGAACTTTAGAGAATTCTTAAATATTCTCAAACTTAAAAAAAAATTCCCTGTAAATTCTTGTCATGTAACTTGTAGATTCATTTAGGACCTGGATGTCCCCTTCTTATCCTCTGGTTTCCATGGAGATAATGTAACTAATCCCAAAGAAAGGAACAGAGTGGCAAAATCCTGGCCAGAGAAGCCTTGTTGCCATTAAGCCAAGTATCTGAACGTCCCTAATGTTGAGCCATCTGGCTTTTACTTTTAATTGGAGAACCGTCTCCTTTCATTTGATACTGAGATGGTCCTTAGTCAGAAAATCTAGGGCAGAGATTCTTAAAATATGATTGAAAGGCCACACTGATTTAAAATGCTAATTCCTGCCCAGCTGGTGTGGCTGTTGGTGGTTGTCCCATGAATGCACCAGGAGGTTGGCAGTTTGACTCCCAATCAGAGCACATGCCCAGCTTGTGGGCTTGATCCCCAGTAGGGGGCATGCAGGAGGCAGCCGATCAATGTCCCACTCTCACACTGATGTTTCTCTCTCTCTCTCCCCCTCTCCCCTCCTCTCTCTGAAACCAATAAAAACATATTTTTAAAAAATGCTTATTCCTGGGCCTAACCCAGAAATCTCTCTATATCTGGAGGTGAAAAGGTCTTCAGGTGAGAGCCAGTGCCCCGGGGGTTTGTTTTCATGACATTTGTGTGCTTTCTTCCTATCTATGCGCCACCACCCAGATCAGTGTTAAGTTTTATTCTCTCTGGTTTAGCCAGGAGGTATGCACTTCCTTATAACAGAAAAAAGTCAAGCCACGAACACCTCCTTCCTTTAGTCCTAATCACACCTGAGATCACACCTGAGATCCTGGTTTAGTTCTGCCCCATGATGAAGGCTTGACTAAAAGAATTAAACTTCTCGGAAGCATATGTGAGAATACCAAATGAAACGGTATTAAGTGCATTAACAGCAGCTATTCAAAAAAATAACTAGTAACCGAAATATATGAGAAAACAACTGAGTCATAGTGTGAACAGCTTAAAAAAATTCAGAAAGGATTCCTTTTTGTCAGTTAGGACAAGTAGGCGTTCTTGTTGGGATTCTGGAGCAAAGAGCAATCCTGTTTCTTATGCTCCCAAACCTTAAAAGCTTGTGTGAGCTACTCCTCCTAATGCTGACGCTTGGGGGAAAAGCTCTCCATGCCACAGATCACCATCACTAAACTGATCGCTGTTTCCCATGGTTCAGATTATGTCAGAGAAAACGTCTTACAACAGCAAATCTAGTGGCAACGTTACACGAGCAACAAAACCCTCTGAGACCAAATCACGCTCCAACTTGCATGAGTTGGTGATGTGGGAAAGGGTCTGCGCTGATTGTGGGTGAAGGGAAGCAGAGTTGGCCACCCCAAAATATGCCTTTTGGGATATTGATTCTTTTAAGCTGGTTATTTTTAACAAAAGAAAGACTCGGAAAAAACCTTGTCCTTCCCCCTAACTGCCTAAAGGGAATTTAGATCCAGGACCTGCTTGAGAAAGGGAGCCATCCTTCTATAGTTTAATGAAAACTAGTAACACAGAGGGAGGGACCTGGCAAGGCCCATCTCTGTGTCCCATTGCTAAAGACGGCTCCCCAAACATTTAGTTACCAAACATTGCTTTTCTCCACCGAGTTGCCTTCCTGCCCTTTGAAATCCCAAACCACACCCCGCTTCCCCTCAGCTCCAGAATGACATATGAGCCTCAACTGCCCGATGTGTCCCGAGTCTCATATTCTTAGGGCACGTATGCCTGTAATAAATTTTGGATATTTTCCCCTGTTAATCTGTCTCACGTCAGTCTGATCAGTAGCCCAGCCAGAAGAACTTAGAAAGGTGGGTGGGGGGAAATTCATTTTTGGACAGCCCACATCAGTAAGCCTGTGGTCTCACTCTGAGAGGATGTCCGTCTGGGTGACAGCGTCCTCACGGTCTCACGGACATTTAGAGCCTGGCAGCTGCTCTCACGTCCTAGTGTCGAGGAGGAAGCGTGTGGAGTGAGGAACGTACCGATGGCAGGCCCTCCCTGCTGCTTGTCTTCTAAGATGGCAGCCAGGTCCTTGTGCACAGATTTATGCTGTTGGCTGGCCGGTGGCTGCTCCAACTCTGGGCTTTTCACTTTTAAGAGCTGATTTGCCTTCTTGATCTTCTGACTGTATTGCCTGGCCATCATGAAAACTCGGCTTTTGGTCTTATCTGTGGCACCCACCCCGGGGTCAGGGTTGTCCAGGTCTGTCTGGGATAGACCGCTGTTGGCCAAGTCGTAGGGATTTTCCATGGGAGGCACCTCGCCGGCCAGAGAGAGTCGATTGAGGCTCATGAAGGAGCCTTCTTTAGACAGGAGGTCCTCCTCCAGCGGGCAGCTGGCCCGGCTGGCCCTGCCCGGCCTGCCCTTGAGCGCGAGGAGGGCGTGGCTCTCGGGGAGCGAGAGTGTGGACAGGGCCCGGGCCGCGTCTCTGCTCAGCTCGGGCGCGCTCTCCGAGTGCAGGCGGTCCGGCACGTCGTCTTTGCTCACAGGAAAGGCTGCAAGGAGCCGGTCTCTAGCTTTGACTTCATTTTTCTTGATGTAATTCTCCAGGTCATTCCAGATTTCGTCCACTTCTTCAGACAGCTTATCAGAGATAGACTTGTCGGCTATAGACAAGTTACAGCTGAAAGAGTTATAGAGCAAACTCAAGTAGTCACTGGCAGGGGGCCCCTGGGGGTAGGGCCCTTCGTCCTCGCTGAACTGGAGGCTGTCCTGGGACACAAAGGGCCTCAGGCTGTCGCAGCAGGCAAAATCCGCTTCCAGGCCCAAGAAGGTGGTCCTCTTGGGATGCTTTAGGCTGCTGCAGGTGAAATCCAGCGAGGGCGGGTCTGGGAGCCGGATGGTGTCATAGATGTTTTCCTCCACCGCCTCGAGCTCTTGTGCGCTTTGGTTTGACGCCTCCTGACCCGTCAGAGGCCCCTCTCTCTGTGTGTGCGGAGAGCTCTTCTCGTGGCCGGCGTGCCCCTTCGAGAAGGCTAGCTCCGGGGTGCTCTTGGGTCGCACAGAGTCCCTGGTTGGTCTGGGGGGAGTGGATTCAGCTTCCTCCCGTTTACCAACCATTAGCTTTAAGTCCTCGTAACTGATGTTATCGTAGACATGGTCTATGTCATCAATAGTCAACTCTATAGATGACCCAAAGGGAGTCATTCCGTCCTGCCCTTCCGTTTTAGGGTCCCTTCGGGGACTGTACTGGGAGCCATCGCTGTCCCTGATTCTTATTTCAGTAGGGCACGTGTTGCTCTCGCCGGCACTGCTGGCCCGCCTGACAACCCTGTGGCCGGAGCTGGTGGTCTCCGTGGACTCGATGTGCCCCATGTGCCAGCTGCAAGGGCGGCTGGAAGTGCTCTCCTCGCACAGGCTGGTGGAGTTCAGATCCGAAGAGGAGAAGGGCGGCACGAACATCTGGTAGTCTTCCTCCTCCTCGTGCTCCTGGGGCCGCGGGCCGGGAAACAGGGCCCGCCGGATCTGGTGGTCCGTCCAGATGTTTCTCGCCGCCCCACCCCCGCGAAGCGCGCTGAGAATGGCAGCGCCGCTGGGCTGACCGTTCCTCGGGGCGGTGGATGGCCTTGCCGATGTCCGCTGGGGGGACCCTTCCCCTTCCCCTCTGAAGACCTGAGGGGGACAGACACAGATCCAGTGAGTCGCAGCACCGTGGACATGGAACTTACGACGTTCTCCTGAATCTATAAACTGCCTGTCCCACTGGACAGCAGAAGTCACAGAGAAAGTGATCAGTATGCCCTGATGATTTTAACTGAGTTGAAAAGCACTTCAGATTTTTGCAAAAGAGGCAGAAAGGACAGGAGGTGGGATTTACTTAGAAATAAGCTAGGCCATATGTGGATACCCTCCAGACTTAATGTTCACAGTCACTCCATGAATTAGATATGATTGTACCAGTTTCGCTGTAAGGAAAGGCTAGGACTCAAACCCAGGTCTGACTCTAAACCCTTTACCCCAATGCAGGGAATCAGCTAAATACAGAAACTTCCCAGAGGTTTCCAAGAATTCCGATGTGTGCTTGGCAAATAACATTATATAAGTGAACATATATAGATGGCAAACGCCATGGTATCTGGTTTCCATTTGGGGCCTGACTCTGAGGAGCCTTATCACGGTTTCTGGTATACCAGAAGCCCCTGTCGGTGGTCCTGCTGCACAACCTCAGGGTTTCCCTTAAATCTACAGACCTGCCATGAACCTTGGTTTACAGGTTCTAGGCAAAGGGACTTGGTTGCAGGAATGTAATTTAATCTGCTATTGAGCTAATTAAATGTCTTTCAAAATACATTTAATTAAGCAATATTTAGATGCCTGTTAGGAAGTAAAATATGAGTGACATTAATGATGTCTAATCAAAGAACACAATGGGGTCTTTTATAAGCTGGAACCTTTCTTGATGGAGCTCGATTGTGCAGACCGGGAGTGGACTGCCCTCTGAGGCCCTCTGTAGGTATAAAGATCAGCTTCAAAGAGTTCATTTGAAAGGGTGAAGGTCAATTCAAACTAATTAGTATCAAGGACAAGTTTTCTGATCAAAACACTATAGTAATCTATTGGAAATGTCAAATTAGCAAGAATTTTTCATCACTTGTCAATGAAACTGGGATACATATATTGCCTTGGAATATCTACCTGCCTGTCAATATGTCTGTCTATCAGGGAGGGAAGAGAAAAAGTAGGGAGAGTAAGAATACAATTTTATCCTGAATGCTATTTTTCTATTACAAACTTAAAACTTAAAAAAATCCAGTTAGTTATTTAATCCTTTGTTCATTTTTTTTCTCACGTAGAACCATGGACCATTTCAGGTCTAGGAACAAATGAATATACACATATGGATACGCATTTACACACACAATTACAGATATGGTATTATATTCATGGCTCTATGGTTTTTCCCCTTTACCTTTTAGTATCTTTCCCCTTTCTTTTTACTCAGACTGCACTGGTATAATGTTTATAAAATATAGGCACCCAGTATCTACACTTTATATAATAAAACAAGTTAGTATTAACTAGCTAAATTGCAACAAAACACNCCCAGTATCTACACTTTATATAATAAAACAAGTTAGTATTAACTAGCTAAATTGAAGCCAAGATGAGTTCTCTAAGAATGTTCATTGAGCCTGGCTGGCATGGCTCAGTGGTTGAGTGTTGACCTATGAACCAGGAGGTCACGTTTCAATTCCCAGTCAGGGTACATGCCTGGGTTGTGGGCTCGATCCCTAGCAGGCAGCTGATCAATGATTCTCTCTCATCATGATGTTTCTATCTCTCTCTCCCTCTCCCTTCCTCTCTCTGAAATCAATAAAAACATATTTTTTTAAAAAAAGAAGAGTGCTTTAAAAATAAAAGAATTGGTCATTGAGATAACTGACCAGTAGCCGTGTTGGACATGGTTTACTTAGGCCAGGATACAGTATCCATCCTTCATAAGTCATAAATTTGGATATACATCTTCCAGTGGAGCATACCATTTTTATTCCCCCTCTCCTACCCTTTTATCAGAAGAAGAAAATTCCAAACTTGTTACACGTGAAATTTCATTATATGACATAGGATCGATCCCACCTCTCATACCACCAGCAGCACCACATTCTTAGTAGGGGTCTTTGTGCCTGAAGGCAAATGCTTTGAGAAGGGAGCAATACTCAGGATGCAAGCATCTCGGTCTTACATGTGCAGAGGCACAGGGCAGCGTGGAGGGACCAGGCTGGGGCGTGCAGGTATCACTTCCTAAGGTAACCTCGGAGGCGAGGGGC